ACAACAGCACCTATTTTGTGTAATGTTGAGGACACAGTGGTCTCCTTCAAACATCAGTTAATGATGAGGAGGAGAAATGCCCCACAAACAAAAATTGACAGTTTCTTCACTAAAAGGCAGAGGGAAAAAGATGCTAGCCCTCAGCCTTCCACTTCAAGAAGGAGAGAGGATGTTCCTGCTGGAGAATCTGTCAGTCCAGAGGTTCCTGACATTTTCTTGGAAGGTGACTCACCTTCCAAGAAGCAGTAAAATGCTTCTCCTCCACCCCCACTTCCTTCTCTTCTCCCTCCTCCTCCCACTTCAAATTCACATCAGCATCATCATCCAGGAGCCGTCTACATACACACCTCAAAGTAAGTGTACTTTACTGCATTTTTTTTTTACTTTATGTAATTTTCGGTGAGCTGGAACCAATTACCCAAAAACCCATTGAAACAATGGTTTCAGTTAACAAAATTTTTGGTTAACGAACAACCTTCTGGAATGAATTGTGTTCGTTAACCGAGGGACCACTGTACGTATTTTGATATCTGGTACGGTACAAATGAAAGCAATTTTGTTGAAGCGTCATGCTGTAATTTTACGTTTCTTGCGTTCATGAGAGTATGCTCGAACCGAGAGGATCAACTGTAAACAACCAGAAGACGTGTCAAAAATGGTAGGTTTTCGGAGGCGTATTTACGGTAAATAATTAATTGCTTCATGTACAAAGCACATAAGATACATCATTTTAGTGTCACACGATCAGTTTTTCACAGCGTTTTACCCCGCTATTTCCCTCGTCCTTCATGCGCACAATAAGTTATTTAAGATTGTAGATTTAAGAAAATTTAAAAATAAAATAAAAATATAAAATTATCATTTTGGTCATCCACTTATTTGGAAGTTAAAATTGTTTTTACAAATGGTTTTTGATGCGTTATGAACGATTCTAACCTTCATATTTACTGTAAATCACTACTTTGTCAGAATCATTCAAAACCCATCAGAAAAACATAATTTCAACCTAACATAACCTAACCTGGATGATCAAAATGATAATAATAACTAAAGTTGTTGATACTTCTAAACACCAAAACACCATGTAAATAAAAAATTTGTAAAATTGTCGTTTATCATCCTTTATATTTTTTCGACAGTTTTGATCTTACCTAACCTGCCCTAACCTAACCACAGAACCAAGAACTATATCCAACCTAACCTAAATTCCTAAGATTCCCCGGATGACCAAAACGATAGTATAATACCAAAAATAAAGGAATTCCATAAACGTCAACTGGTGGTTGTGGTTTCAGTATTGTTTCACTTTTTGCCATTAAATGAATCTCACAAATTTTATAGTTGCAATCAATAACGTTTACAATTCTAATGACATTTCTGGCATAAATTGCATATAAGCAAGATATTTAACATTTTATTATGCATGTTAGTACATGGCATTACACACCCAGAACACTGAATGACTGTGGAGCCAACAGTTCAGTTAGGTTAGATTCAAAACTATGTTTTTTCAATAGTTTTTAATGTGGTTTGAACACTTTTTACCTTGATTTTTATACCAAATCTCTTGATCCTGGATGGGGCTTATCACTATTATTAACGTTTTGGGGATCCAGTGATCTTTTTTCTTTTAACCAGTAGTTTAGACAATTCTAAGACACCTTTATTCTCTGGCATTTTGCCCGCTCATTAATACTTTCAGAGAAAATCACACTACAGGCTGACCAACACCTTTGACACTATAGAAGAACTGCCGTCCAGAAGTCGAAAAAGCAATAGTGTAATTATAATGTCATACTGTAAAGGAGCATTTTTATACGGTGCACATCTGGAGCCATGGAAATTTATTTTATTTATTAATAATAAACTCCAGAAGGTGGATGACGCAGAGAACGACCCCAGTCTTCCGAGTCTACAGTAATTAAGATAAGCACTACCGACTCCAAAACTTAAAATCCTAAAAATAGTTCAATAACTGCAATGCTAATTTTACATAGGTTAGGTTAGGCTTGGTGTAATTAGCGGTAGAAATGAAGGTCAGACACACAAAAAAAACACCGGAAAAATAATTTCAACTAAAAAAAATAAATAAATAAAATAAAATAAATTATCTTAAAGTAATCATGAGCGATCAAAATGCCATAGAAGAAAAGCTTCTTAGAATCGTCTAAACTACCAATTAAAAAAATATATACAGTAATATATTAAAAATTGCTGGATCCCCAAAACGATAATTTTACCTGTTTATCTCAGGAAGTATTGACTTGCGCCAAAATGAAGGTCAAATTTATTCAAACATCAAAAACCATCGGAATAAAATAAGTTTGGTATTATTTTACTTTAGTGTAATGATTGTTTATCAGACCATAGCTTACAACCCAGAGAATTACAACACATATAACAGTAAATAGATACCCTGGTGGTAACCCACATAAGTTGACACACCCTACAGGGACAGAAAGACCTGACCCAAGAGAGCAAGGCCACTAAGTACTTGCGATATGACCGTGTTAAAGAAACCACACCCTGTCAAGACACACCCAGTTTAGTGTTAATTGGGAGAGGTCATCTGCCGGCTGGTGACTGCCAATTTATAAGCCCTGCAGCCCCTTCCAAGGGGATTCAGATAACTTTCACGTCACTATCGCCAGAAGACGGAGTCAACCTCGTCACTAGTTAGAGGTCGGGAGGGAGACTTCCCTCCCTAGCACCACGTCTCCAGCTAGCAGTCTCCCACAGGAGACATAGTCCAGCAGCACCTTCAACAGCACCTGCTGGGCCTCCCTCAGGTCACACTTGAGTCATTGTCAGAGCTATCCACAAGGGGAGTTACTTACGGTGTGAAGTGTAACCATTTCATGTTTATGTCCTAGAGTCAGTGTCTAGTAACGTAAATATAATGTTCTAGTAACTTGGATATAATGTTCTATTAATGTGTCCATGCCATTCAGTTAATTAATAAATAGTAGTATTGAAAGCAGTGCTTAGAAAGATTTCCCCTAAGAAAGTATTTACAGTAAATAACTAACCGGCCACGCAACCAAAAAATGCACATTTCTGCCGAAAATGAAGGTCAGATTCATTTAAAACAACAAAATACACTGAAAAACATATTGGTCAACCCATAAGGACTCGTGTCCTATAATAAAAATTTACCATAAGTTTTAACTTCAATTTCATTTAATGGCAAGTGAAAATTGAACCGTGGTTTCCTCAAAAGTTAGTATTTACTACTGCACTTCCAGTATTTTTGCGTTTACACACCACACATTCCTACCACTAATCTATTATCATATTCTAATAAGACGTTAAATTATAAAAATTTTCATCTATTACATTACCGGCGGAAATGTATAATAACGGAGATAGCATATCCAAAATTTTCTCTATTTTCTTCCATTAATCTTCCGCCATTATCGTCTGCCTCACCTCTAACACTGCGTGTCTCCTGCGTCTCCTTCATAAATCATCACGCGCTTGCGTTCCCGTACACGTCATGCGGCCAATCAAAAGCGCTTTTGTTTTTGCAACCAATTTAAATGATTTGGGGTTTAATTCGCGGTGTATTTGGCCCAATCAAATTCTAGTTTTATTTTGGGTCTCTCATATTTCGAAATTCAACTTCATTTCCGACCATGGAAGTCTGCAATGGGTGTCACTTAAATTACATGGAGCTGATTGCGAGTTTTTGGGAAAAAAAAAACAAAGAAACTGTAGCATTTTTTCAATCGCATGGTGTTCTTCCAACCTCAGTAAAGTGTTCTAAGAGCAAGACTGAATGTAAATATCGCAAGACCAACTTATGTGGTGTTGTGTAAGAATCTCAGAATGCAACGACGAACAAGAACCAGGCCAATAAGGTAAGAAATAGGTGATTCCATCATATAGTGAGAGTCAGTTAGGTTAGGTTAGGTTAGTTTGGTTTTTGTTTTTCTAGTATTTTTTGGTGTATTTTGCCATGTTTTATTTTCGGAAAACGTCCAACGAAAAAAATTTGATAAAAAAAAACCCGGCTAATTTCCGCCAGAAATGAAGGTCATATTCGGTCTAAACACACACAAATACACTAGAAAAATTTATTTTTTACTTTCTAACAGAGTGCGGTGTGACTGCAAATTTACCGCACAACCACTGGTTTTCATAGAAAAATAATTTTAAAATACCACAATTTCACTGTCTTTTTTGTAGTGGACACTACTGTTGTTATGGCAAAGAGTGTTATTTAAAAGTTCAAGCTAGTTAACCTAACCTTAAACCAACCTAACCTAACACCCGCCGTGGGCGAACTTACTGTTACCGAGACGGGAGGAAAAGGTTGTGAAGTCCTTCATATTAGCCCCTCAAAAATTATCCCATAATCTTAAAAAATATGTTATTTCATGATATATCAATTGATACTGTGGATACATTAATATAGTAACGCTGCCATAATGCATACTGGTTCAGCACGTTCATGAACAGTACAGTACAGAGTAATAGCAGTACAGTACAGAGTAATAGCAAATAGTACGGTGATATAACTAATGTCAGCCCAAAACAGTCATCGAGGGGCCTTCATGTGCAGTTGAGGGTGGCAAATGGTCTACAAAATACATAGGTTGTTGTCTAGAAGTGTGACAAGTGCAGTACTATATTGCACGTTCTTATTTTTACGGTTAGGTTTAATGAAAAAACAATATTAATTTATAAGGAATAAACCAAACAAAAAAAACCAATCATCATAGGTTTTCTGGTCATCATCCATAGGAGCCAAGCAGTATGACCACTACCACTTAAACTAAATAAAGTTAGCATTCAGTACAATTAATGGCTGTTATATCCAGAGGTATTTGATAGACTGGATGTTGTGCCCTTGAAGCGTGACCATTACCTGCTGCTGAGAGAGAATGGTCCAGGCAACAACACCGAGACATGATAATTTTACTACTTCTTTTCAATAACTTCAGATACGATTTGTCATTCACTCGTATAATAGTAATATAAAGTACATGATTTCTTACCAACTTCTTTAAACTATATTCATGGGTAAACTGTTAGTGCTTCCTAATTGTGGGGTAAAACGCACAGTCTTTGGCTTAACCAGACTCTGAGTTGCTCCTGGGACTCTTCACCATGACATGTGTTTCATCGACATGAATATATATATTTATTTTTATTTTTATATATACATATACAGATTTACCCTAAATAATATAATTCAAATAAATATTTCATAAAATATAGAATTCATTTAAATATTACATCTTATATGTTTTAAATATACTGTATTAGGAGTGCAACAGGAAACTCGAGTCGGCACCTTTTTTTATTTTAATTTATATATTATATTTAATCTTTCGCCACTAATAAAATTCAAATTTAGATTCAAATAAAAGAAACTATAACAAAGGGAACAGCAGAGAAAATAATAAATTGTTTTATAAAGTTCTCAAATTTTTACGGGCGGGGTATTTAAAATTGCTTTATGTGAATCACCACTAACAAGAAGGCTAAAGTGTAATTTGGGGGAGTTATATTGAAACTAATTTGTAGTTATAATGTCAATAACCTTACAACCTTACAGTATATGTTTATATCAATCTATAATTATATATATATATATATATATATATATATATATATATATATATATATATATATATATATATATATATAGGTAGAATATTTAGTAGGAGGATGTAAAGAGAGGAAGAATTTGGTAGTATGGCCCGGTTGGGTATTTACTGTGTCAATACACTTATGTTATCTTATACATCAATACACCTCTACTACGTTCTCAAGGACAACTTCTCAAACACCGCTTCGTTATAACTATTTATTAATTTCGACAATGGCATGGACACATTAATAACATCTTCTATCGAAATTACTAGGACATTTTATTTACGTTACTAGGACATCATATTACGTTACTAGACACTGATTCTCGGACACAAACATGAAATGAATACACTTTCCACATAAGTAACTCTGTGGGTTTACCTGAGATGTTTCTCCTCCAGCCTGTGTGAGTGCGAATCTCCGGGGGTCACCATTTGTGGGTTTACATGAGATGTTTCTCCTCCATCCTGTGTGAGTGCGAATCTCCGGGGGTCACCATTTGTGGGTTTACATGAGATGTTTCTCCTCCATCCTGTGTGAGTGCGAATCTCCGGGGGTCACCATTTGTGGGTTTACATGAGATGTTTCTCCTCCATCCTGTGTGAGTGCGAATCTCTGGGGGTCACCATTTGTGGGGTACGAGATATGTTTCTCCTCCATCCTGTGTGAGTGGTCACTCCGGGGTCACCATTTGTGGGGTACGGGATATTGGTTCACACTCAGGATGGGATGGAGAAAGGAAACTCACAATGTGCTCTCTGTATACATATTGTATTGGATGTACAATGCAGCTTGGTGCTGGGAAGGCAGCATGATTACAAGCGTTGAATAGAGAGAGCTGGTTGGTGAGGGTGCTCAGAGGAGGACCAGCTCGTGGGTCGCCATGCTCGCCGGCTGGAGCGGGAGCCGCCAGGCAGGAGCGGAGGAGGAGGGGTTGCTTGCTGGTGGCTATAGGTAGAAAGAGGTAGGTCGATACGAGGTGAGGTCTTGTATAGCGGAGGTAGGCGTGGCTTAATAGTTGACCTCCGTCATGTAAGGCGGCGATGGTTGCTGACCTTGGACCCGAGGCACAGGCTGGTGAATACTGAACTCACATTCTTCCGGATAGATTCTCCCGTTCTTGTACAACAATTCTACAACACCTACTATATAGGGTTGGTGTACCTTCAGTAGTGTTTCAAACTCCTGTCTCTTATCAAGGAACGTGTCATTATTAGTGTACATGACTTTCAAGCTGGAATTTGTTCCCGGTAGCGTGTTTGCTCATGGTAGTGCCTCCGGCCCCCCTCCATTCCCAGCAGCTGCAGCATTTGCTAAATACATTTTATTTTACGGGGTGTGGTCAGGTATGTCATTGTTTACATGGCGCTCGCCTCCTCCTGGTGCCATGGTCACGTTGACTGCTGATCTATTTAACTAATGATTCTTATTAAACTCCACGACCGCAAAACATGAGTGAGTTAGCAACCCCTGAGAAGAAGACGTGTTTTTCCCCATAGACGCTACACTTGTGTTTCCCTCCTAGTTTGCCCCCCTTTGTGAAGACAGTTATCAATGCGTTGTTATTCCACTTTCTCCTGGGAAGCTCAATCTTGAATTAGTCTGTGTATATCAACTCACGTAATTCGCCAGACCTTTGTCAACTGAGGGTCATCTTTGAATGAGTAACAGTTAGTTTGTTTGTGATTATTGTCATTGCATGAGTAGCGATCACTGGCAACTCAGGGATATATTTACCCGTGCATCGCGCAGGGAGAGCGTCCCCTGACGCCTTTCCAACGTTTCTCCAGATCCAATTGTGACTAGTGGATCATTCAACAACTGCCCCGGTTGTAGTAGATACCCAGCAGGGACCATATATGAAACGATGGCACCGATGCGGCCTGATTAATGTGCTCCACTGCCTCGTTGGGCCAGACCCCAGATTCGCCATGTGTCTGGTTACTACCGACCACAACAACGGTCGTGAGCCCCAGTGCTCTACCCTGGGTTACTCCTTGGAAGTATATGTCAACAGAGGGGTTTGTAAGATGTATGTTAGGGATAATTAGTTGGAAATAATTATCCCATGTTGGGTAGTGGACCCCTGTATCTGCTGATTTAATTATTAACGAGGATGTTGAGTAAAGTAATCTACAGGGAGTGCCATGTACTATGTATTGTGAGTAGGGTCAAGGAACTGGTCCTGTTATGCCATGTAATGTAACACCAGTAAGGTTGGGTGCATTAAGAGTGTAAGATCTGAGTAATTACTGTTGAGTAAAGAAATAAGAAAATAAGTAAATCAGAAAATAAGTAAAGAAGAAAGTACTGAGTCTGCAATAAGCCCAGGAGTTGAGCCTGGTAATTATATGACTAATAATATATCTTTTCCCTTTGATTTCATATTAATAAATTTGTTTTTAGAGTACTTTAGGTTTATTCATTTCTCCCACAGTATTCTACCTTTATGGCTGCTGAGATTCAATGTCACGAAGTGTAAGAGGATGCACCTGGGGCGTACCAACGGTAAGGAGGCGTACCATATGTCCCAACGGGATGAAGAAAATGTACTAGTTGAGACTGTGTGTGAGAAGGACCTAGGTGTGTATGTTGACAATGAGCTGAAGTTCTCGGGCCATTGTGAGAAGAAGGTAAATCAGGCAAATAAATTATTGGGTCTTATAAGAAGGTCGTTCAGATATCTAGACGGTCCGTCCCTCGTGACGATCTTCAGGAGTGAAGTGCTTCCCCATCTGGAGTACTGTCACCCCATCTGGTCCCCGAGATATGCTAGGGACTGTCAGTTGGTTGAAAATGTTCAAAGGAGGGCCACCAAACTGGTGCCTGCACTTCGGCATCTCAGCTACCCTGAGAGATTGGAGCGCCTGAACTTGCCTAGCTTATACTACAGACGGGCAAGGGGGGACCTAGTTGAGGTTTATAAGCATCTCAGGGGGCACTACTCAGTTGAGTGTCCTTACTTGGAGCTGGCGGACGCTCGCCCCACAAGGGGTCACAGCTCAAGATTGAAGAAGCCGCAAGTCCAGAAAACCGTGAGGGCAAACTTTTTCGGAGTGAGGGTTGTAAACTCTTGGAACAATCTACCAGAGAGTGTTGTGACGGCACCGAGTGTGAGCTCTTTCAAGAGAAGACTTGACCAACACTGGAGCGGGTTCAGGTACATTCAGGAGCCGGTGCATGCCCAGTATTTGCCAACAGTGCGTGACAGAGACGTGACCGATCGCCCGGGCGGCTAGCGAGCCGACCTTTTGGTGAAGAATATAAAGGAAAAGAGACGTGACCGATCGCCCAAGCGGCTAACAAGCCGATCAGTGGCGAAGAGGATAAAAGTAAAAGTAAAAGATACCAGAATTACCATACCCATGTGCCTAGACCCTCGACCATGCTACCAAAAGAATGACCATGCTACCAAAAGAATGTCCATGCTACCAAAAGAATAACCATGCTATCAAAAGAATGTCCATGCTACCAAAAGAATGACCATGCTACCAAAAGAATGTCCATGCTACCAAAAGAATGACCATGCTACCAAAAGCATGTCCATGCTACCAAAAGAATAACCATGCTATCAAAAGAATGTCCATGCTACCAAAAGAATGACCATGCTACCAAAAGAATGTCCATGCTACCAAAAGAATGACCATGCTACCAAAAGAATGTCCATGCTACCAAAAGAATAACCATGCTATCAAAAGAATGTCCATGCTACCAAAAGAATAGGTGACAGAACCGAGTAAGAGTAGGAACTAAGATAAGAGAAGTAAGTAAGATGAGGGTGGAGAAGAGGTGTTGTTGGGAAAACACGCGCCCTCACACTGGGTGGGAGGTAGAGCGAGTGGGATAATCATTAGTTTTTCTTTTCATGCCCTCTGAGATGTTTATAAACTACAATTAAGTCACCCCTTGCCCGTCTATAGTACTGTATAAGCTAGGCAGTTGTAGGTGCCGTACTATACAGGTAACAGTCTCGTGGCACTCCTTTGGACCAGGCGGGGTGACAGAACTCTAAACGGGGAAGCACCTTACTCTTGAAGATCGTTACCAGGGATGGACCGTCTAAATATATGAACGACCTTCTTATAAGACCTACTCGTTAAATTGCTTGATTCACCTTCTCACAATTGCCCGATAACTTTAGTTCAGTGTTAACATACACAGCCAGGTCCTTTTCACATTCGGGTTCTGTTAATGCAGTTTCTTCGTCCCGTTGGGACATGTGATAAGCCTCCTTACAGTTGGAATGACCTGGGTGCATCCTCTTACGCTTCGTGACTTTGAATCTTACCAGCCATTTCTTCGACCAATCTTGAAGCTCACAGAGATCTTTCTGCAGCTCTACACGGTCTGTTTGGTTCTTAATTTCCCCCGAATAACTTGGCATCGTCCGCAAGCAATTGTGTGGAGGAGTGTATAGCTTCTGGCATGTAATTTATGAAACAAACAAGCAACAACGGGCCCAGTACACTGCCCTGTGGGTGTGGTATCCCACTTGTTATGGGTACGCTTGATGATTT